ACAAGACTTATTGCGTCAAACTGATACCATTTTGGGAGCATTGATGGTTCTAAATGCCACAGTTTCTCAATTCAACAAAGGAGCAGGCCTTTTCGGAAAGGGTGATGCTAAAGAAGATTCTTCAACTGGACTGGAAAATGACATCCTTTTATATCCCATGAATAAAGATGGAATAGTGTTGGATGAGAAGAAAGCTGAGGAGATGAAGTCTCTTTTCTCAACAGCGGAGACTGCCATGGAAGCTTGGGCACTGCTAGCTACTTCATTGGGACATCCGACATTCATCAAATCTGAATTTGACAAATTATGCTTCTTAGATAATGAGTCAACTGACACAGAGGCAAGTTCATATGTTGCTGGCTATGAGTTCTTAGTTTCTAATGTATCTTAGATCTGATTCATTTGATCCAAGGAAAGCTATTCTACTGATTTTGGATTCTGTAAGACTTGCAGGTAGCGCTCTGGCGTGATTCAGCAAGGAAACGGTTAGTTGTTGCTTTCAGGGGAACAGAACAAGTAGGTTCCGGTGTTAAACACATCTTTAAAACTTGTTGATTTAGCTTAGTTGTGGATAACCGGTTTTTCTTTTATCCAGACAAAATGGAAGGATCTTGTGACGGACTTGATGCTAGTTCCTGCAGGGTAAAATCACAAATCTGTACAAGCACAGGCTGGCTTTAGTTTTTCTTTCTTTCTCTACTTTGCCCTTCTGGTTTCTCTGTACTACTAAGATGTTTTTCCTATCACAGTAAACAGATTCTCCTTCCGTTCAATTTGTTTGTCTTACTTTCCTTTTTAATCCGTTTCGAAGAGAATGTCTCTTCCTTTTCTGAAAACTCTTTCATTCTAACTTTCCACATGACATGTTTAAGACCACAAGATTACAGTCATTTTGGTACATTCTACATATCATAATTTAAGACCACAGTATTCAAAAGTCTTCTTTACTTTCTTAAACTCTGTGCCAAGTCAAAACCAGTCAAACAAATCGAAACGGAGGGTGTAATTTTTTCTTCTCTAAGTCTCTGAAAGTGTACTTTTATTGAAATACAACTCTTTACTATGCTGAAAGAAACATTTCCTTTTTCTTAGAGGAATAGGAGTAGAAGATAACCTTCCATCCTACATTATTAAGTTTAGACTGCAAATACCATCATATCTAAAGGTTTTCCTGAAAAAAGTTTTAACTTCGAACATAATTTGAAACAACAAGAAATAGCCAAACACTTTGGTAATTTTGAATATGAATTGTACGTTCTTGCATCTTCATTATTCGGATGTTGTACAGAAACTTTAGATGGTTAAGCAACCACTGTCCATTTTATTTCGCATCCTGAGTTGTCTCCTACTCTGCAGGTTGAATCCTGAAAGGATAGGCGGGGACTTCAAGGAAGAAGTTCAGGTGGCACTGAAATTCTTACTTTTCTATCTCTTAGTGCCTGAAATATGAATGTATTCTACTTATATTTATAATTTTTCTAATTATCAGAACCAGAGATTATTTTTGTAGGTTCACAGTGGTTTCCTAAGTGCATATGATTCAGTTAGGATTAGGCTCATCTCGCTTATCAAAAAAGCAATTGGCTACCAGTAAGTGGACTGTTAAACAAAACTGTACAACATTGTTCCTCCTTTCCTATGTCTCTTTCGTACCTTCAAGTAGAAGTCGTGTCAAATATTTCTACAAGTCTATACTAAGTGGACTCGTGTCATGAGCTTAGTGTTACACTCCCAACTCTTAAAACTTGTTATGCGCTTTTGCTTTACTGAGATGTCTAGACCTGGCTTAGTCTTTTTTCTTCTGTTTATCCTTCTTTTCGTGTGGGTCTTGTTGCTGCTACTGTACATCTTATTCTTTGCCTTCTTCGCGGTTTCTTCTTTTTCTCTGTTTATGATGTACTTACTTCACCACTAAACATTGACGTCACATCGCTTATTACAATTTTAATGTATTTTCCAGGGATGATGATCTTGACACGCCAAACAAATGGCATGTTTACGTGACTGGCCATAGTCTTGGTGGTGCATTGGCTACTCTTCTCGCTCTTGAACTATCATCAAGTCAACTAGCTAAGTGAGCTCCTCCTTTTCTCTGCTTGTATCTGTAGCTTGTTTCCCATCCATTCTATATAATTTACCATTTACCAGCATCTCGCCAATAGGGCATGCATGTTTGGTTTTCTGCTTTGTATTTAACATGTTTGTAGTGTTCTTTGAGAATTTGAAATGCCTTACTTGAGCAGAGGGTCTATGGAAAACAACCTCTCTATCTCTACGAGGTAGGGTAACGTTTGCATACACTCTACCCTCCTTAGACCCCACCTGTGGACTGTTTTTTTTTTTTTTAAGAGCAGAAGTTGTAGAATTGTTGGTAGAATCCTATCAAATGTAGTTTCGATGCTAGTTACGTAAATAAACCTAACCATGGACTTGTATTCCAGTCTTATATCTATACTGATCAGTATTTGAATGTGTGACATTTTGTACCCAAAACTAATGTGCTACCAAGCTGCAGCACATCCCTTCAATTGTTCCATGTTGCCACTTTGATATCTTCTCTTGATGGTTTCATCCTTTTGACCAAATTGGACTTGTAGGTCCCCAAGTATTGTGATTGCTAAGTTGCTTGCTGCTTGTTCCATCATAATAGAACATCTTGCAAATTAAGGAGTTAGTGCAAAAAGAACGTCTGCAATTGTTAAATACAAATTTTCGGGCTGCCCTTGTTCTTGAAGTACTTGTGGAGAAAAACCAAGTCCTCCATCTCTAATCATGCTAACACTACATACGTGACCGTCTTATCTTTCTTGTTGGTTGTGTTAGGCGTGGAGCTATACGTGTGACCATGTACAACTTTGGATCTCCAAGAGTTGGAAACAAAAAGTTTGCTGAAGTTTATAATGAGGTATTATTTACTCTCTGCAGAAGTGAAGTGCTTATGTTGAGACTAACTATATTCTATAGCCATTTTGGTCTCACCATTCATTTATGACAATCTTTTGTAGTTATAAATTAAACGATCTTTATTTCTGAAACAAGTTAACAAAGGCAAAATAACAAACAAGAACCAAGAAAAGAAAGAATATACCGACACACTAATAAATACATACAAGCTGGTTCACATACTCAGCCTTACCTAATTAGCTCTCCTCAATAACACTGGATGAAAATGATTTTTGATGTTCTCTCTCGGTCTCTCCTATGGAGGTGGCTTGTCATAAATGAAGTGTGAAACTCTTGAACATGCTATTGAATATGCATTGGTGCGTTGTCTAACATGTCAGACCAACTTTTAGCAAGTTTGAGCCATAATCAGATGCCTTATCACATTGTTTGCCGATAGTTCATGGGAATTTCTTGCCTGTTCTTCTATTGTGACGTGGTGAACGGCTGTAACTAAATCACTTTCGCCTGCTTTGGAATCATACTGAGAGCTTAATTTTGTTAAATTCTGAGTGACTCTATATAATTAAGTTGCTTCTTATATTGTAGAAAGTTAAGGACAGCTGGAGGGTTGTAAATCACAGAGATATAATACCAACAGTTCCTCGCTTGATGGGCTACTGCCATGTTGCTCAACCTGTTTATTTGGCAGCTGGAGATCCGCAAAACACAATGGTGAGTAGATTTCATTTTCTCACTTTTTACACTATAAAACGTTGGATTGGCAGAATGTTGGCACTGTTAAGGAAGTTGTGTTTTCCCGTTAGAGATTAAAGTGGAAAAATGTGTCGGATGGTTAGCTTAACCTGAAGGAAATCACAGAAGGTTCAAAACAATTGACCTTTGTTATTTCTTCTATAAAACTATTAACTCAATTGCTCGAAGTAACTTTTTGATATTTTCTTCATAGTGTAGGTAGAAAGTATCAAGAAGTACTATGTCATTCTTACTTATTATGTATGGGAACCTACTATCGTTACCTCCCTGGAAAAAGTCGGAAAGAAAATATGATCATTTTTTACATCATTCCTTTTATACGTGAAAGGAGCTTGTTGTTTAACTATATATGTCTCGGCACATCACATTTCAGGATAATGTGGAACTCTTGGAAGATGGTTACCAAGGTGATGTTATCGGAGAGGCCACACCTGATGTTATTGTCAGTGAATTTGTATGTTTCTCCACCTTTGTTCTCCTGTATCTTTAGTTCCTTCGTTTTGGTTCTGTGCTCCATTTCATCCATTCGTGATTTGTTCTATTAAGATCTTCAACTGTTAAAATTGTACTGCTACTTACCGTACATTTGACCAATTGAGACTTCTGTTTATTCATTTTGTTCAATACTTCGCCTAATGGAGAGTCTCCTTGAGGCATAAGCTTATCAATTCACTCCATTAGGTTGAAGCCATGTTGCTCGGAGTTTTGTGTTGGATCCTTCAAAAGCTATGCATTGTTAGGGGATCCGAGACAGGTTTGGCAACATTTTTGGGAGGTCCGAGCAAGAATTGCGGGAGGGGAGCTTGTTCTGAGTTATTTTTGCTATATGGAACACATTTCCTTTTTATTTAAAGGTAAAGAACTCTTGATAATCTCGCGATTACTTATCGTAACGTTTTGTGCAGATGAAAGGTGAAAAAGAACTTATTGAGAAAATACTGAACACAGAGATTAACATATTTCTAGCAATTAGAGATGGAAGTGCACTTATGCAGCACATGGAAGACTTCTATTACATCACTCTATTAGAGGTATTACCATTCTTGTAGCTATGTTGCTCGAACTCGTCAAAAATGTCGACACGTACATGTCAAATCCTCCAAAAGTAGTGGACTTTTGAGTATCCGACATGTGTGCTGCAACATTTTTGAAGAGTTTGAGTAACATACGTATCCAACATGATATGTACTTAAACATTTTTTTTTCTTTAATGTTTTTCTAATTCTTTTTTCCAGAATGTGAGATCAAACTACAGAACTGTTCCAAGGCCACAACTGACAGAAGAGAAGAACATATCGATTGGCTAAAATGGAAATTATCCAAATTCATTAATGTTGATGTTTTAATTTCCAAAGGTTGTAAATAACAATAACACCAAAAAATTGGCTACATTTATTGTATATATGTACTGATTTTTATCTATGTCAATTGTACATTTCTTTGGTCATTTATGTTAATTGTTACAAAATTTTAAATGATAGAATAATGAGAACAAGTAATTGTTCTAAAATAATTGTCTTGAACTAAAAATAGAAGGAAAAAAAAATACACTTCACAAACAATAAAGAAATGGCATGAAAGAAACATACAATCTAGAGAACCACCACTTCTTCTATATTTTACTAACCAATAGTATCATTACTACCTAGATCTTTGACAGATAAAATCGTTCGATCATTAATCAGAGGTTTCGAGATTTAAACTATGAGTATAGTGAATATCTCGATAAGGAGTTCTAGTTTCACTTAATGTTGAATTAAAAAAAAAAAAACTAATACTACCTTTTACATATGCAAGCTTTTTGAAAGATTCTTAGAAAAATTTGTTGCTTTCATATTATAGCTCATGATTTTCAAACTTTGCCTTAAAATGTCAACTTCCCTTTCCCTCTTGAGCTCTTGTTGTTCCTTTGAAGCTATTTCCTCTTTTAGAAGTGCAATTTTTTCCTCTTTTTCTTTCAACTCTTTATGCATCTCCTCTAATAATTCCATTTGTTCTATTTTCCAACATAGTCCTCTTCCTAGTCAAACAAGATCAAAACACATTAGAAGGACAAAACAAGACGACTTGTAGACATAACAACTGTTCGTTGAGTGACTAATCTGATGAAATTCAAACGTACCTTGATTTGTCCTATGAATAAGTTCATCAAGCTCAATCTTGATAGCAAAATAAAGTTGTTTCCACTTCTCTATTGCTTCATCTCTTCTAGCTTCTTCATTCCTAATTTGCTCCAACAAATAACTTGTTGCTAATTCATGCCACTCTTTATCTTCTTTTACACACAAATTCTCTATAGCTTTACACTTGTCTTCTTCATCTTTTTCTTCCAAGTTTTTCTTCAACTTCTTCACTTCCTCTTTTAGCTTCTTCTTTTCCTTCTTCCATTCTGCTTCTTTCAATGCAAATATGATCATCTCTTGTGCATTGACTTGACTCTCATATTCCCTCATACACATAATTTCATTCACCTCACCTTGAAGAAACCTTACATTGTATTTCAACACTTCAACCACTTTGTCTTTTGGTTGGCTTTTGTCCTTGGTTTGAAAACTTCCCATTTCTTATAATCCCTAAAAGTCTCCTATACTTTTAGTAGTTCTAGTTTTGTGTATATATAGATAGTGTGTGTGTGTGTTGGGGGGAGTGTTGTAAGATGTATGTGTGATAAATTAGTCACAAATCTTAGGTAAGGAAACTTCTTTTTTCAAAATTAGGTGGAGTCTTGTAAAATTCGAAGACTGAAACACGATACAAGTAAAAGTCTGATATTTAAGTGAAGTATATAAAGCGCGATCGACTCTAGGAGATTTCTATATTATCAAAAAAAATACAAACACTTGGTACAATACATTAACAAAAATGCATTAAAGGGTATGTTAGATCAATAAGAATAGAGTATGGGACAACATGATTATTATTTTTTTTTATGAAAAAAGGAGGCTCCTACCATGCAATATGAAGTGATGGCACTAAATGATACAAAGAGAGTTTTGTACTGATTTTTGTTTTGTGGCTCTTGCATCAATTCAATTATTATTAATATACATACTGTGAAAGATGCCTTGTATGAAAAAAACAAATAAATTAGAGAAGTCACATTTCAAGATATTGACATGAATGAATGACATAATGTGTCTATTGGGGAATAAAATCCACATATTCCAAAAAATCACATGTACATCATTTTGGAGCCTCTTCATCAAGGTGGGGGTGGGGTGGGGTGATTGGGTGGGTGGGGGCTTCATTTAAAATTTAAAAGGAATTTAAGTTATACGCGCTATCGCAATAATCACTTATAACAGGTTATTCTTTTATTTTTTGAATTATAGTATTATGCGTGATTAAAGATTTAAAACTTATATATCATCTATCGACGAAATTATACATTTCGAAATTTACCAAATAAAATCTAGGTTTTAAAAAAAGTTGTGTGGGGGGTAGTATGGGGGAAGAGTTTTGGAGCCTCTTGATAATCGAATTTAAGTTATATACATTATCGCGATAATCACAATATTATACTTAATCATAGATTTAAAACTTATAAACTAACAGTGTATCGAAGTTATACGTTTCTTAAATTTACCTATTTTTAAATATGTTGTGGGGGTGGGGTGGGGGAGGGGTAGCATGGGGAAAGAGTTATTGTATTATACATCAAATTTTTGTACATATTTTGCCAGCTATTAAAGGGGCCTGCAATCTTTGCTGAAAACATGGGAAACATTATTGACAAAAGAATATTTCTTTGAATATTATGCCTTTGTATTCATCTCAAACTTTGACCACCAGATGGAGCATGGATTTAACTAGTTCAGTATTTTCGATACGAAATATAAATAATAAAGTCCGAAGCAAAGACAGATGACAATTATTACACGGTAAAATTTAGCAAGTTATGAAAAATTAATATAAGCTTCTTATAAAATAGAATAGGAATAATAAGAATTAATCAACAGATCGTGTGTCGATGAGATTAAGTATCGTTCTATTATTTCAGACATAATTTATTGTATTTTCACTGTAGTTGGGATCTATAATCTTGCAAAGAATGACCCCTTTCCTTTTCTGGCAATAATTTAATTTTAACTTTTCACGTGGCATGTTTAAGACCACAAGATTAAAGGACATTTTGTTACATTCGATGAAATTTTAATTCAGAACCACAAGATTAAAAAATTCTTCTTTCTTTTCTTAAACTTTGTTCCAAGTCAAATTAGATATATCATTTTTTAAACGCGGGAAGTATTTGATAAATGATCAAATAATAATTAAAGTATTGGATGTACTATTGGTCTTGGAATATTTTATTTATTAACTAGGCAATTCTTCAACATTTAGGTATTTCTAGGTAGAGAAAAAAAATGTAATTTTATGTACCAAAAACAAAAGACTTTTGTCAAGTCAAATCATCAAATTTTGTTTTAGCGTTGTTTAAATGAGAAAAAAAAGAGAAAATAAAATAAAAAATCATTTAGTTTGTGTCTAATTTTTTACGTAGTAAAAAATCTAGTTTTTTATTTGCATCTATATTATTTTTACAAAGAAAATAAAGTCTTTAACTTATTTAAAACGTGGCTCAAAAATAAAAATTGACATGCATTTCTTTGACTTTGTTAGAATATATATTATTTTTTTTATACAAAAACGAATACAAATGTCTTATTTATGAAATTTTTGTTTTTATTTTCCCTTTCTAGTAGGGGAAATTCATCAATTTTGGTGTTTTTTTAATTAACAGAAATCTAAATTGTTTATTTAATATGCCAAGTTATATTTGCTTTAAAATTGTTTAATTGTTTCCCCCTTTTATTATAAGTATATAAAAGAATTTCAATTGGACACTTTTAATTTAAATTTCAAATTCTTTTTACATATGTTTTTATTTATCTATTAGTAATTTAAGTTTATCATATAAAATATTTCATCTCTTTAGTTCATCAATCTTAAGTAAAAAATGTTTGAAATTTTAGGACTTATCAAAGCGAACACAACATAATTACATGAGACAAGTATCAAAAACAACCTTGTACTTGACTAACTAAACTCAGATACACCCCCGATACACTCTCAATACGTGAAATAACATGTGTCTCAAACCCTTTTAGGAGCATGAAATTCTTAATAAAAGTCGAGAGAAGTGTTGAAAATACTCCTAAACTTGACGAGAATTTAGGGGTTCTCACTGATGTTACAAGTTCGGGGATGTATTTAACTTCAATTAGTCAAGTAATAAAGGGGTGTTTTAAAGGTTTTCAATAGTTCAAGGATGAAACTAATAATTTGTGCCAAGTTCAAGAGTGCTTTTGACACTTCTATCTAATTAGTTCAACGCATATACGTAAAACTACTAGATAAATAAGAACAAACACACAGAAAAAAATTCAAAATTTAACTGAAAATGTTCTATCACTGTGTTTTTATTAAGAAACAGAAGTGTTCAATTTAAACAAAACTTAAATTTAAGTCATTTAATTACAATTAACCAATAATAATTATTTAGTACATATCATATTATTATATATTTATTGATATGATGTAAATATCTCGTCATATTTTATTGTATTAATTTTTTTAAAAAAATCATTAAGGTTTTATTTTTTTTTCACCAAGTGAAAATGACTATTTTACCCTCTTTATACATATCTTTGTTTTGGTAAAACTCCTTCCCCATATCTTCAGGAACATTCTTAGTTATCTGCCTCGGAACCTCCGAATTTTATAATCTTATAGGTAGAAGTGAAGAAAAAATCAGTAAAAATTCTGAGAATTTGAGGTAATTTTTTATTGTGATTATATATGATTTCCTGAACTTTTTTTTATTGATTTTTTGTTTATTTTCTTGTGCCATTTTGGTGTAATTTGTCAATTTTATGTAGAGTTTTGCTATATTTGATGTTCTTTGTCTGTGTTAGGCTAAAGGGGGTTCTTGAAAAATGAAAAGAAGAATAAAGTTTGAATCTTTTCATTTGATTATTCAATTGAAGGCTGTATTTACCACAAAGAAAGTTAATTTATTTAAGGGGTTAGCTTGATTTGTGATTTCTTCCAATGTGTTCAAGCTTTGGTGGATAGGGTTACTTGGTACCTATATTGGTGGGAGGTAGTAAGTAGCGGGGGAATTAATCGAGGTGCGTGCGAGCTGGTTCAGACACCACAAAGAAAGTTAATTTATTTAAGGCAATGTGTCTAAGCTTTGTTTGGTGGATACTGAATAGGGTTACCTGGTACCAATGATGGTGGGAGGTAGAAGGCACCTGTGGAACTAATCGAGGTGTGTGCAAGCTGGTCCAGACACCACAAAGAAAGTTAATTTATTTAAGGCAATGTGTCCAAGCTTTGTTTGGTGGATAGGGTTACCTTGTAAGGATGCTGGTAGTAGGGTACCCGAGGAATTAGTCGGTTGCATGCAAGTTGGCGTAGACATCACGATATTTAAAAAAGAAAGAGGATATCCCATTCCTAGCAGCCTTAACAGTTGACTGTGGCAGAATTCTCTCTCTGCTGTTGGTCCTTTTAGGATTTCTGCAGAACTGTTCAATTACACTTCGAGGTATCTCACGCGAAATGTTAGGACGTATGTGTCTAGTTGTTTCAACTTTATACAATCAGGTGCATACCCAAAGTTGGAAGGCATAGATGTTAGCTGATGCCAAGTTAAAGGGAAACGTTTATTTATTATGTCTAATATGAATGATACAGTGAATACTTACACTTTTCCTGTCATCAATCTTTCAAAATCGCTGATGCTGTATTTTTCCTGTCTTTTCTGCTGAGCTGAATAGTTGGCTTATATGTTTTACTGGTGTTCCGTGCATATGAGATGATTTAGTACAGTTGTTTGCGAATGTAAACATTTCAAAACGTGTCTTCTATAGCTTGATTTGGATAATAAATGTATGAACTTGGATGCATTGTTTGTTAAACAACTTATTTGACTATTTTTCTTTGTTAGGCTCAAACTCCTTTTCGATGATTTTACACTAGTCGGAAATTTCTTTCTTTTTCCCTGGTTTAGGGGGTCGTGAAGCAATGAACTCCCTTTTCTTTTAATTTTTTCGACAAATCTTATTAACAACCGAAAAATAGACTTTGCTGGTTTCTAAGAGTGAAGTTTTAAAGTGTCCATTTGGGGACATCCGATGAAATTGGAACAATAAGAGTAAATGCTTAAGTAGATCATTATATACTGTGTTTGGTAGAGAGTGTTCACAACATGTTTTAGAATGTAGAATAAGTGCGACACTAAGTAACCCGTTGTTCATCTATTCGTTGTGGTTTGCAATAAATATTCATCGATTATCAGTGTAAAAAACTCCTGAATTTCCTCCCATGTATGTTCTAAAATCGTGTCTTACAATGCATAGAAGAAATTAATGTCAGCGATCCTTTTTGCAGTCGGTGAAATGGCAGCAGCATCAGCAACTACTCTCTCAGTTGGTTCCGCCACATCCTTTGGCTCCATAGTGAGCCCAAAATTACAATCAAAGGCCTTTATTGCGAAATGCAATACCAGGGACTACCTTAGGAGTTTCAGTGGCCTTAAGGCAGAGGCATTTGTACGATGTGAATCCGAGTCGTCATTTCTAGGAAATGAAAGCATTGCAGCTCTTCGACAATCCATTACTCCTAAAGCCCGAAACCAAAAGCAGAGATCTTCGAACCATGTTCAGCCTCAAGCATCTTATAAAGTGGCTGTTCTCGGAGCCTCTGGCGGTATAGGCCAGCCTCTAGCTCTTCTGATTAAGATGTCACCGCTAGTATCATCGTTGCACCTTTATGATATTGCAAATGTCAAAGGAGTCGCAGCAGATCTCAGCCATTGCAACACTCCCGCTCAGGTTTTTGACTTTACGGGAGCTTCTGAGTTGGCCAATTCTTTGAAAGGTATAGATGTAGTTGTCATACCAGCTGGCGTTCCGAGAAAGCCTGGTATGACACGGGACGACTTGTTCAACATAAATGCTAATATTGTGAAA